AAGGTGTGTATGTCCTCGGAAGTAGCTATATATCTGTATTTTTGTCCTCGCAACATATAGCAATCCAAGTACACAGACTCGCCCACCCACTCACTCACTCACTTACTCACTCACAGACTCGCTCACTTACTCACTCATCACTCACTCACAGACTCACAGACTCGCCCACCCACCCACTCACTCACAGACTCACTCACTCACTCACACACACACACTCACAGACTCACTCACTCACTCACTCACTCACTCACTCACTCACTCACTCACTCACTCACTCACTCACTCGCTCACTCACTCACTCACTCACTCACTCACTCACTCACTCACTCACTCACTCACTCACTCACTCACTCACACCTACATTCTCATATATAAAAATAATTGTTTTCAAATGTTTCGTGTTCAGCATTTGCTGGCGTCCGTGTCTATCAGGCGACGTATTGTCCGGCATTGAACAGCATAGCCGTGCTTGTGTAAAGAGTATGCCCCAAATTTCACTGTATTCGCCTCTTTAATGTGACATGGGTTGCCGGTATCGTGATAAACTGAATACCAAGCCACGTCGTAATACCAACCCTGGCGGGGTTTTACTCCTATTTTCTTCAACACGAGCCCAAAAAACACATCCTCCCATGGGATGTACCGCACAAATTGTGACGCCACGTAAGCTTGCTTAGCAACATCTGATGACATCACGTAAGCCGGTCCCTCCAGGTACGGCGGATACGTACTTTCTGGGTACAGGTCTTCTGGCGTATACCATTTGGAATTCAGCATTCTGATTGGCTTTTCCCTACTCAGACGATTTCCCTCCGCAAAACCGGTTTGAACCGGTTGCTTTGACAATCGATCGACAACGTTTTCGCGCACAACAAAAATGTCTCTCCCATCTGCCTTCATGATGTATTTGGCGGTGGGGCAAAATAGACTTGCCCATCGTAATCCCATTATTGTCTTCAACGTGAGATTGTTGTAGCTATCAACGAAATCCTCTTGCACAATATCGTTATATATTGAATTTTCAAATTCGATTTCTCGCTGCATGCGCGTACTGTTAGTTGTTCCGAGTAAAAACATCGTCATTGTTTTATAACCGTGAATAATTCGTTTTCCGCCCCAATACCGGCGAATTGCCTTTCGGTTTTCTTGTTCTTTGTGCGTATTAAACACTAATATCAATAGAAAAACATTTGGACCAAAATTATCACACGCGTCCTTGTTATCAATAATAAAATGGTATTGATGCGGATTGATTTTGGTTGTATTGCTGTAAACAGGTAGTGTTTTATTTCCGGTCTTGTTATCTATAGGAATGTGATGATTGACAGTACTGTTTTGTTTTTCAGTATTCCACTGTGAATCGTACTCGTTGTGATAGTAGAATGCATCCTCCGGCAAAGCCGGTGCCACCCCGGCTGATTTACCCCAAGTCGGCAGTTCGCCATCATAGTAGATCGGCACGCCGTCGCCTCTTAATTCCGACTCTTTTGCAGTACGATTATTTCGTGTTGATAATTCATGGCGATGTTGCCCTCCGTCGAAATATGTCACATTGCTAGAAAAAGGCGCTTTTTTGGTAACCTCCCCACGTGTAGCGTTGCCAACATACACACACGAGCGTTTCAAACAAAGAGAATATCGCTGGACCAGACGCGACTGACTGGTTTGCAAATATAGGAATACAGCACCTGCGAAAACGAAACTATACAGAATATAAACTTTACGAAGATGACGAGGCACGAAAAACCACAACATTTCTTGGACGGTAAAACTAATGTATGTACTTGGTATTATCACAACGCTGTGGCTGTAGTTCTTATAAACGTGTTTTCTAGTCAGTTGACACTTGGTGGCGCGTTCTGCAAATCAAACAGACAATAATATTGAGTCACGCGACCAAGCTTCATGTTTTTAAAGCGCGGTAATTTTAAATGGCTGTATCTGGATTATGTTCTTCATAAAATTCTCTAAAGAAGATAACAATGTCCTCACCATTCTTACTTCAGAATGCATGCGCCAATCATGTGGGCATATGAATACCTTTCACAGAATTCTTTGTGTAAAAACTAAACTGAGGGTTCAGCACCTCTGTGGAATACACCCATGGTTCAAATATCTTTTCCCAGAAACCATGAATGAAGTAGCCCTCTATAAAAGTGATACAGCAGCTACCATTACTACATCAACCAATATTTTATATAAATGCTTCCCTGTATTTTTGTAATTTCACGAAAATACAGATCTTGAATTTGGTTGTATTTATACAAATCAATGTGAATGCATTCCATGTATTTGTGATTCCACGAAAATACAGTGTTTGAATTAAGCTGGTTTTGTATAAATGCATGAAAATACAGATCTTGAATTGGGTTGTATTTATACAAATCAATGTGAATGCATTCCATGTATTTTTGTGATTCCATGAAAATACAGTGTTTTAATTAAGCTGGTTTTGTATAAATGCATGAAAATACAGATCTCGAATTGGGTTGTATTTATACAAATCAATGTGAATGCATTCCATGTATTAAGCTGCTCAAGTATGAATCCAGGAAGATAAGTTCCTGTATTAATCTGTATCTATACACTAAATTATACATGAATAATAGACTTCCTG